CACTACATGTCTGAAGTAAGTTAGACAGAGCCTCAGAATCCTTGCCTCCAAGGAGCCACCCGGTTTAACCCTCTCTAGGACAAATCTATTTGTTTTCCTAGCAGTCCATGGTATAGACGAATGAAAAGTCAGCTTTATTGCAACAGTTGTTGTTCTATGTGTTGTCAAGTCAGAATTGACTGAGAGCTGACCCTCCAGTTTTCAGATTGTAAGTACCATGGAAGAAGACTGTCCATCTTTTCCCTTAAAGTAGCTGGTGGACTTGAACATCCAGCCTTTGGATTGACAAGGCAGTTCCTTACTCAATAGGCCTCCAGAATTCCCAAAAGAGAATGAAAAACTCTTCTCTTTCAGGGATTTCTATTGCTTATCATAAGAAATAAATTATTCTACTCATAGCATATTACAGGGATTCAAAAAATGTTACTTAAAATAAAGCCAATAAAATAACCATGGTGCATGAAAGCTAGACCATGACTAAGGATAATAAGAAGACTCAACGCTTTCAAATTGTAGTGCTAGAGAAGAGTCTTGAATATACCATGGACCACCAAGAAAACAAATACGTCTTTCTTAGAGAGTGTGAAACCAAATATCTCCTTGGAGGCTAAAATTTTGAAGCACCATCTTAAATATTTTAGGCACATGGCCAGGAGTGATTGGTCCTTGGAGAAGGACATCATCCCCGGAAGGGCAGGGACAGCAATGGAGAGGAAGACCCTGGACGAGATGGATTGGTACAGTAAATTGGGCAGTGAGGTTGTTGGGTCAGAATTAATGAGACTGGCTCAGGATAGGACAGACTTCCGAGTTACAGATAGGGTCATCATGGATCACAGGTGTCTCGATGGCACATAACCACAACAACAACAAAACATAATATGACCATGGAAGTTTTATTGATTTATATCTCCTAACTGGACCAATTGGCAACATCAGGATGGATGGTGAAGAGACTGAGATCGTTCACAGCTTTAGTCTGCTTGGCTCCACAATCAACACTCTTGGCACCAGCAGCCAGGAAATTAAAAGACATATTGCGATAGGAAACTCTGCTGTTGGGGATCTCTCTAAAATACTGAAAAGCAACGGTGTGTCTCTGGAGACTAAGGTGCGTCTAGTACAGGCCATGGTCTTTGCAATCACTTGTTATGTCAGAGAGCTGGACAATGACCAGGGTGGATAGAAGAAGAATTGATGCTTTTGAGCTTTGGTGTTGGAGAAGAGACCTGAGGGTACCACAGACTGCTAAGAAAACAAACAGATTCATCTTGCAGAGGGTTAAACCAGGCTACTCCTTGGAGGCAAGGATTCTGAGACTTCGTCTGACATACTTTGGTCATGCTGTAATGAGAGAGTGGTCCTTGGAGAAGGACATCATGCTTGGGAGGGTGGAGGGCAGGCACAGGAGGGGAAGGCCCTCTGGGAGGTGGACTGATTCGGTGACTGGGGAAATCGGGATGAGTGTGTCAGAGACAATGAGATTGGCACAGGACAGAGCAGAGTTTAGAGTTGTTCTACAAAGGGTCGCTATCAGTCGCAAGCGACTCAACAGCACATAACAACAACAACAACATTCTAATAAAATTCTTCATTCATAATGTCATCTAAAGTGGCAGAACCTACATCTAGGTGAACCTGAGATAAATAATTACTGATATTTTAATGTTAACAGTAAGATGTGATTATATTAAATATGAGAACATAGTTCTTAAAAAATTACTAGAATTTCTGTTAAGATGTTGTTGTTGTTGTTGTTGTTGTTATGTGCTGTCGAGTCGTTTGCATCTTGTAGCGACCCTAT